CATATTATCTCATACTTGTATTGGAGGTGTTTACTAAGTTGTAGAAATGCAAAGAGTCTATCTACATTGTGAACTAGTGTCAGTAATTGTTTATTTTTTTTTAAAAGTGCCATGAAAGATGTAATGTTTACTTATTCTAAAGAATAACGCAGGATATGCATAGTTTAACTGTTTACTCCAACAGTGTTAAGATGCTAGGCACTAGAGATGTTAATGTATGATGTGAGATGAATGAATGATGAAGGAGGGAGAAGAGCATATCTGGGGCAGATATGAGATCCAGGATGACCGAAATGTAGGAATGGAACGTAAGGGAATGGAATGAAACGGAACGTAAGTGTGTGAGAAGGAGGATGTGAGGTGCGAGAGGAAGGGGGAGAAGGTTTTTGTTTTTGGGATCGAGGAACGGAAGCGTGCGTGACTTAAGTGCATTAATTAATTAAAAAGGTGTTAAACAGTGAAAATAAAACAAACCATTATTCTCGATTTTTATTAAGAGGTCCAAAATCTCATATATATATTCACAGAATTGATTCTACGTCCGATCATTTCGCATTTTTGTAGCGTCCACCACTTGTAGGCAATTTTTATACACTATGAAAGCGAATATTGGTCCATTAAACAATTTCAAAAATATTGTTTAACTCATTTCTTTGAATATTTACCATATGTCGATATACGAATATTCGTATATTGCCAGATGGCTTGGCCACACTAAGGAGAAATGCCGTTAATTATTGCGTTGATAGACGTTGAATGTAGGTGTGGCCACAAATTAACGCGATAATTTGACAACGACATTATCAATGCCGTTTCCCGTTTGCCAATAACTCGAGTGGCGGTACATCAAAGGATTAACGCGCGAATTATCGCGGTGAAGCGGCCACACTACGTTTGACCCATTGTGCACGGTGAGTGCCACGGGGTTGCACGTATGGCTGCGATGGAGTGGAGTAATGAAAAAGCTTTTCGAGATTGAATTGAAAAAAATTACTTTGAAAGTAATTTAATTTACGGTATGAAACTAAGAAAAATAAGCAGGAAAAAAAAAAACAATTTTTGCAGGTCGAAATTCATAGTGTACAGTGATAACTCTGGGTACGTGTATCTAATTCGCACTTGACCAGTATTTATGATTGCCTTATTAGTTATTATTTCATTAAAAGATATTAACGTTTGTCTCATTATTTAGCTTAAACCGTTGGACGTCTTGCTAGTGCAATTTGGGTGCGGGAAAACAAAATAAAACATAAATAGATTTACAGTGTACGTTTCCTGTGCATTTGTAGCATCCACCATCTTCTTTTTCTTTGTATTCTTTTTTTCTTCGTTTATCTTTTTATTTTATAGGATAGGGTGACAAACAAGCACACAGTCGATCTGATGGTATGTGAATACTGTAGCCCATAGACATCTACATCTTTCCTCGATTATGAATCAAAATGCAGATGCGTTGTCATCCGTGAGGACTAGGATGGAATGCCTCGTTTCCAGTAAAAAGAGTCTCCGGTTCTCTACACTCACCACATTAAACACAGCAGCATTAAGATACTGTTTTACGCTGGTAATCTTTGAGAGCGTGGTCCTTTCCCGGTCGAAACATTTAACGCCGTTCGATGGCAAATATAACGCCGTTCAACGGCAAATTTAATGCTGTTCAACGGCATTGAAATTGAAACGACGTTGACCGTTCAAGTGTAACCACTCATTTTATCGCGTTAAATTTAAGGCAATAATTTTTGCATTTATGGGCATTGATGTTGCTCATTAGTGCAGCCGCAGCAAGACGGAAGGAAACCAGATCCAGAACCAGAATCCCCGTGATATACATCATAGTTTTTAGTTAATTCTCCTGCATATCGCAATTCCTTTTATAGTGCGACGTTGTCACTCTTATTAGTTATTCCGCTTTGTAACATTTTATTTATAGGTAATATTTATATATGTATGTATTCGATAGATAGCTATAGTCTGTTTTTTTTTCGCAGGAGACATAAATAACAGATCTTTACCTCAAAAACTGTATTATTCGTGCTAAACGAATCTAATTCATTTTTAATTTAAGATTCTGGTTCAAATTAGATTTAATTTTAGTCAATTAATTGCGTATATTGTTCAAAATAATAAAATAACTCCACAGAATATACAGTTACGAAAAATATGAAATGTGATTTTGTCTCCGGCGAAAAAAACAGACTATATATAATGATTAATTTACCAACTAGTTATTCGTTTAGTAAGTACGAAAAAAATGCCCAGGCGTGATACATTACAGATTGATTATGTTATTATTTATTTTATTATTGTAAATAAGTACTATTTGTAGATATTAACAGGTTAAATAGAAATTTGTTTTATTATATTGTGACTAAGAACCTCTGACTAATAACATAATATGGCCTTGGGAAGAAACTCATTTTAATATAAGGTTTTACTGCATTAACTGCCAATGGGTTGTTAACTTCTACAATAGACCGTGTCATATTGTTGGTGACATGAATAACTCCGAAAACATAATTTATTTACTTGATCGTGTTGAGTTTTTGTGCTCTCACTGCGAGTTTATTATTTATTATCACTATCTCAAGGATGAGTGCGACTATTGTAACTAATCTGTACGAAATTACTATCTACTAACTTGATAAATTTTTGTGAAAGGCAATTTTTGTTAAATTATGACATTATGTTTGGTTTTGCAGTTAGTTGAAATACAATTATTATTTTTGTTTTAACGTGCATATCGTGCTCTAATTGGTGTCCGTATTGTGACCTACGCATATTGAACTTTCCACGCTTATGTTTGCTTGCATTTAAGTTTCTTTAGTTATATTTAGTAACATAGGTGAATAAACTTGATTAAGTTGATTAATATCCTTGACATAGACATTGAACGGAGTATTTACCCATATACGGACGTAAGAATATCCTAAAATATTCACACTAAGTTTTATTTGACGTCCATTTCTTCGATATCTGATGTCCGATGTTGTTGTTGATTATTTTGTTTTACTATTTATTTATTTTTATTAGTTATTTAGTGCTCAAGGCATATTTTGGTACTTTTATCGGTTTATAGGTACTGTATTCAGTGCTAGTAGATAATTTTGCTTTAAAATTTGTTTTAGTGTCCTTAGATTTAGCAACGCATAATAATATGGACGTCCGAATATCCTAAAACATTCGTACTGAATGATATTTGACGTCCATATTTTTGAATTTTGTTATATGTATTTCTATATGTGGACGTCAGATTATCGGTAAAGTTTCATACCGCACGATATTTGACTTCCATATAACCATAAATATGTTTCTATTTTAATTCCTTGTGTATACGACACATTTTAATGATCATAGCTTTAATAAAATTTTTCGCTATTGTTTTTATTCGTGTTTTAGTTTAGGGTTTCTTGTTTATGTCTCTTACGAAGAAAAACAGACTAAAAACATCATGGTTAATTTACCAACTAGTTATTATTATAATTCTTCTCCTTTTAGTAAATGCTAATGCAACACGAGCATCACAATTAAAATCTAAATCCTATTCTGACGAGCTGTCTAGCAAATCTAGAACCAATAACAATATACGCAAACTCATTTTAGGTAACACTCTGTATAAAATATCCGCTTCAAAAATCATGTCCAGCTTGAAGAATTTCGAGTGAATGTATCATTTCGTATATTATCGTATCCGCGTAGTGTATGATACTTTCACACAATTAAGTTTTATACTCAGATAATATATTATCGTATCTGCGTAGTTTATGACTCGCTTAATAATAGTGTTCAAATGTGGACATAATTTTCAAGGTCAAATTAGACATCCACCAAATAGTAATAGAATGAAATACAAAATTTACATGTCCAATAAAGTGGTAAAGACCCGCTGACTGTATGGTTGTCCGATAGTGGAAAGAACGAGGGGGTGATAAAATCATATAATTCCTGCGTACGCTCTCCGCAACAATATAATAGAATACCGAAAAAGTTTCAAGATTCAAATTCACATGTAACAAGATTTACGTGGAATATATTTTTTGAATATTTTATTATAAAATGTTTGCCTCTGTCGACACATTTTTATCTGAATTTCTACTTACGAACTAGCAAACTCTCGTCTACACATTCTATTCGTTTGTCAGCCTCCCTTTTTACATTTACATCCCTTGTTTGTACGCCTCTTATCACAATATTACCATATCCCTTTCTTAGTCTTCAAAACTGTGAGTCTGTTATTGTCCCTAATGATTCAGGTATGAATTTTTGACAGCTCACCACTCTAAGAACATAAGTATACGATTAGTGATATGAAAACTAATAGACAACAACTACTATTAATCAAAATGTATGTTCTTCAGATCTCCAAACGATTACAAACTTTTCAAGTAGACAGGTGATAGAGTTACTTAACTAATTATAAGTATCTACTTCATAATTTTCGTCTTGCGCTGTGTGGTGGTGGCTTAAGACATCATCTCATTTTTCTTGTGGATGTCGAGGTAATTGTAGACAGAAAGATCCTATAGGTTCCGATAGATGGCGATATAACCATCTTATTTACGCCAGACGTGTAATACCGGATCGGCAACAAGAAACATGTTCAAAGATGCGAGGCGTCTGCTATACGATGTTTTTATAGATAAAAAACGAGCACCTGAAGGTAAGAAGATTCTATGGTCTTATAGACATTTACGTTTACCCCCAATTAAAAATCAATACAGATGCGTTGTCACCTTGAGGGCTAAGATGGAATGACTTGTTTCCAGTAAATGGGGTCTCCGGTTCTTAACACTCACCATACAAAAAACAGTAGTATTAAGCTACTATTTTATTTACGACGTACAAACGATGCTAAAACGTTGGTTTTTGTAGGGCTTAAAACGATAAAAATTAGATCACTAAATATTTTCTATATCATAAACACTTTCTACTGATTGATTTTGTCGTATATCTTTTTATTTTTTCAAAATGATTTTTTCAGATTGATTTATAATTCAACTTACGAATATATTGGTGTTTCGTGGCCTTGCTTGTACCATATAACGAGGCCAACTTTGTCTGCAGAGAGAGCTGGACTCACGTCGCAAGGCAACTCCACTCGCCCGCCCGTCGGTCCTTGTACCGACTCTACCTCTACTGCAGAATAAAATTAAGCGATTAATATTTATTATTTAATTATAAGAAATAATACGAAAAAAGTAGAAAATTAGTATTGATGGAATTAAAATGAGCCTATAATATGTAATAATAGTCATTATCTACGATATTGCGGCTTTTTATGAAACAAGTTTTTTCATATATTTTTTTCTATTAATCAGAATAATCACCCATACAAGTGGTGCATCTTTACCAATGCAGGAGGAGTTTATTGATGTACTGCTTGAAGAAATCAGCTGAGCGGGAAGCAACAAATTCTTCAAAGGTATTTTGAAGAATTGTCTTTTGGGTATTGAATTTTTTTCTCGCCAAGTAGTTATCCGAATTCTAAAAAAAGACGTTTTGTAAGCGCAAGTTCTAGTGAGTACGACGGATGACGAAGTGTTTCCAACCGCAGCACTTGTAACTTATTAAAACTTAAAACACACCAAGTAAACATAGAAAAATATACTTAAAAATAGAGAAAAAATGTTTTCTTTTCTTGTAAATGTTTCAGTTCGGACATATTATATAAATGCTACACAATGTGTTGAGGAAACTCTAAAAATGGGTAGCTCGTTATTAAAAGAAGAATTATGAAACTATACTTTTAATATGTAGATTAATAAACAAAGATTAAATACTAAATTCATCACATATCTGAGTCTTAAATGATAACATAAAATAAGTAAAGAATAAAATAATAGGAGTATTAAAATTTTTGAACACCAAGAAAATATGTTTAGCAAGCGCATCATTTTTAAGCGTTCGTAAAATCAAACACTGCTGAGTTTTACAAGCAAAAGTAAACATTCTGAAAATAGAAGAATTTCTCTCACATACGTACGTGTTCTAAGAGAACAAAACGTAAAAGATATTGCTGAAGATTTAGTTTTCTAGGTAACTTTGTTGACCTGTATCCTACGTTAGCGACTACTCTATGGGTGCGTTGGGCAGAAAAAAGCGCTAGCAAGCGCTTGTAAGCAAAATGGCGATCGTAAGCGGTAAGCGCTGTCAAATCGTAAGTAGCTATTTTCCTCTAGGACACGATGTTAGTTTTAACCGGGGGAACCTAACCTAATTTAAATATATGTTTGTGAAGTATTCATATTAAAACTTACCAATCATGAATTTTTAATAACATGTATATGTCTATTCATGTCATTATATTACTTAAAACTAATATTGCAAAAAACAACTTATAAACACTACGTCAAAACAAACAAATTAAATAAGCAAAATGGCGGATTGTGTCAGCGCTACTGAAGTAGGAATCGTGTCCTGGCCGAAAACTATTTAACGCTAGTAAGCGCTTGCTAGCGCTTTTTTCTGCCAAACGCACCCTATGCACCGCAGTTTAAAATAATATTCATTTTTTTATTATTGACTTATCTTTACTAATGTGCCACTATTAGCACAGTTTAGACCTTACAGTTGTGAAACGCCTTTGATAGACGGCGATACCACCGCCCACGTAGGTATTATACACGCTGGGTTGTCACGAAATAGTATACTTCATTACGAGTGCGAAAAGCCTGTCATTGCAAAGAGTTCCAACAAATGTCTACCCGACCCGAGGTACAGCTGAAGGTGAGGGTTGACAGTCGGAACAAGTTGCAATAACGGTTTTGCACGTGTACTGAACAACTATTTTAATGCAGTTGCGAAAAAATGAAGCAATTTAATAAAATAATAAAAACACAATAAACTCAACTAACTTGGGTATTCATTTATATCCACGTTGTTCCTTATTTTCAGCATATTTTTCATCATCGATAACCTCGACCATAACGTAGAAGGTTTTAATTTTGCTGAGAGTTCGGAGAAGTATGCCAAAATAACATTTTCTGAAAAACTATTTGCTTTTTTCTTTTCTCTCCAAGCAATAAATTCGTCGTATGTAGATATTTAGCACCTTTTTAACTTTTCCGTCAAAATGTTGTCCGAAGCATTTTGTGCAATTATACTGAGTTCCGGTGGTGTTAATTCAAATAAAATATCGTCGAAATTACCCATTTTGTGCAAAAAACAACTAAACTCGCAAAGAACATTTTTGGAAAATGGCGCCAACCGTAAAAGAATATAAACAGAGATTTTTTTGTTTTCTTCACCTATTCTGGGTAGACAAAGGGAACAATACCCATACAGACAAGTCTTCAACGAAATTTTTTTAATGATATGAAATGAAAATGAAATTTAATGAGATGAAATGGAATGAAACCTAACCTTACTCATTGAATCAAATCATTAAATCTGATATTGAAACAAATTAGTAGCTTCTTTTTAGAAATATTTGCATGAATCATAAAAAAATTCTTCAAATTGCGTTATAATCATTGCCAATTATTTTTGTGACACTTTCTTTTTTATAGATGTTTTCAGTTTTCGATTGTTAAATTTATTTATGTAGTGTATTCGCATTCAGATAAACAATTTTATTGCATAATTACTATAAAACACTCTCACGCCAATCGCGTGTATTGTTTATTAGACTTAATGAAGTGTGCTAGGACAATGTCGACCCGCTCCCTGCGCTGCAATGCCGCGTTGCTCTGCTCAAGTACAGTCGTTTCCCAACTTTAAGAACTTTATACTGTGCTACTAACCATGGGCTTCTTTCATTGTAAGGTTTGTAAGAAAAAATTACATCGGCCGATATTTTATATTAATATATTTGTGATATATAGATGAGTCTTTCATGAGTTAATGCATAACTGTGGCTCGATTACATTTCCCACAAAAGCCTATTTAATTAAAAGTAAAGATTTATGCCATCAAAAACATAACTTGTAAAAAAGACCAAGTCTCGCAACTCAGTTCTTCTATCGTAAAAAGTTGTGAGATCCAAATAATACCAAGTCGGTTAATTTATTTAGTCCTCTTAAGGGTCCTTCTGTCTTAAATTATTACGTAATTAGCTAACATAACAACAACTTATTGTGACCATATCAATATTAAAAATCTTTTATGTTTGAAATAAATAGATAGACTCGGGCCACCGTATGAAAACACAATGTATCTAACATTGTATGTATTACTATGTATTACTACATATTATATTAAATTCGATTGCTTAGTGCGATTGCCAAGTCAATCTATTTATTTAAAACAATAAAAAGATTTTTAATATTGATATGGTCACAATAAGATGTTGTTATGTTAGCTAATTACGTAATAACTTACGACAGAAGGACCCTTGGTAGTGACTGAATAAATTAACCGACTTGGTATTACAAGGATCTCGCAACTTTTTACGATAGTACTGAGTTGCGAAACTAGGTCTTTTTTAGAAGTTATGATTTTGATGGCATCTCATTTCTTTTCGCAGATGGTTCTAATTTTTTCCTTCCGGTATCTTCTACTTCTTGGTTACCGACAAAGTACTTATCTACACCTTTTATTCTATCATATTATACATATATAGGTACACTGATTCATTAACTGCAAATGTAAGTTTGTAATCCTATATATTTATATAGGATTACAAAGTTATTTATGAGTTAGTGTATCTAGAAAACTGGACCGAAATTGATAAATATTTTAGTTTTTTCTTAATTTATACATTAAATACTAATTGTTTTCTAAGTTTGAAGCTTCTATGTCTGCTAGAAGTGCTATAGAGTTTTGAGAAACTTTGACTAATTATAATTCCTAAACCACTAGTTCAAATTGAATGAAATTTTAAATATACCGTGTCTATAAAATGCTTGCTTGGTTCCAAATTCAGGTTTCTAGTTCTTTCCACAACGAAGTTGTAAACGGTCGAAAATGGCCTGAATTGCTTCGAGAAAAGTATGGTACGGCCGTGCCGCTTTTTTGCTCGACTTGGCGGGGGCTGCCGTGCCCCCAGATCTGTGAATGGAAAAATTAACGTTAGCTTACTACCAAATGTATCGCATGTTTTAATTTGGTATATGATTTAATAATTTATTTAATATTTTTTTCGTTTTGAGCAATTGATATTTTAGTTAATTCTAAAGGTATGCCCTGTCAAAGACCGTCCCTTCTCCAGTGGAACGATTGATCGATTTCGTAAGAGGTAGGTACAAATATGGGCATAAAGGCACAACCATTAACACACAAAGCCTGTCATAAAAATACATTTTTTTACTTTTCAAAGTCCAGTCGACCACCAAAAATATTATTAATAGTATAATATAATATTAATGTAATATTAAAGAAAGTGAGTAAAGAAGCTAGAAAGGTACTCGAGTGGAAGCCTCTTACTGGCAAGTGCAGTGTTGAGTGACCCTCTACTAGATGGAAAGACGACATGATGAAACACGTAGGTGGTTCGGGACCGTACTTTATGGTCATGAATGTAAGCAGTCTACCTTCAGCAATGCCTACCTACCTACTTGTAATGTGATGATATTGATAAAGAATATTTTAAAGAATATTAGTTTAATATTTTGGAAAAAATCTATAAAATATATTTTTATGGAATAGATATGACAAATGACCACACAGTCATATCACACAGACAGTGAGGATAAGTGAATGCCAATCCCATAGACATATACATGTAACATCTAATAAGTATCGATTGACTGCCTTGTTTGTGTAGTAGTCATAAATCGCAATTGCTGATCATCAAATCCTGGTATCTAATCCCCAGTTGGGCCAAAAATCAATTATTGAGTTATTCTGTCAAAAATTCTCAGTAGCAGCCCAGAATCAGGAAAATGGCAGTGTTGCACCCCAGTGTCCCGGATAGCACGTAAAACCGTTCATCCTGCGCCTGACCTCTCTCCGGTCGTAGCGGATTACCGTCCAATCGGAGGAAATAGATAATATATCTGTTTGTGCATACTCCCGCGCAGATGGCTAGTCTACGTTGAGACGGGCCATCGTAACTAAAATTCGATTTGGAAGACGTTATTTTTATGAAAAACAGATGCGTTGTCACCTCTGAGTATAAATATGAAATGCCTCGTTTCCAGTAGAAAGGGTCTTCAGTCATTTATACTCACCATATAAACCACTGCAGCATCGAGCTGATATTTTACGTTGGTATTCTGTGAGAGCGTGGTCCATCCCCTGTCATCGGTTCGAACGGGGAAGGATCATTTATTCTACAACTATAGTATAGCTACAGCGTGACTCTATCACGATATAAGTTATGTTAGGTACAGCGATTGCCAATTAGGTAGGGAGTAACATTTGGTACGCTGCTCCTCGCTATCGATCTAGTTGTTTAGGTCTCAGATCTAAAAAAAGGATAAAAAAATTCCAAGTATAAATCAAAATTATAATGGCTTTCACACACACACGCGCGCACACACACACACACACACACACACACATACACACACACACACACACGCGCGCGCGCGCGCGCCGCGCGCACACGCACAGACATGCACACCCACACGAACAAATATACGCAGATGCATAGAGAGGGGAATGAGAGAGAGAGAAAAACAGACATTACTCTATAATTGATAGATATAGATAGAAAAAAATATATTCAACAGACTTCAAAAGGTGAGTATATGACAGAATTTTGAATCCACAAATTCCAAAGTTCGAAATTATTGCAAAAACTGGCTAATGGAAACGGATAGTTGTAAAAAGAAATCAAACGAGATACATTCCGCAGAAAGTAGTTTAAGTGAATAGTACATAACAAATTCTTGGAACATTACTATTCATACACCTCCCACAACATCCATATCCAATATTTTAACTCTAAAAGGTTTTATGTGTCTTCAAACAGAAAGCTGAAACTATACATAAGCTAAACAATGAATGTGAAATGCTAAGGTACTCAACACCTTTATTTCTCAATTACGCAAATAGACGCAGTGAGCTTTGAAAGATTTTGCTTTGATGTATCTTCTTTTATCTTGCTATTTGGCCATTACCGAAATATTTGACTTGATAGATATAGCATAGATAAAAGCATAAACTTTGGGAAATTAAAAAAATATTTCGATTTCATAAGAAGTCCGCCAACACGCATTGGGTCAACGCCTTGGACGTTTCTCGTCCTAAAATTATCTTATACATGAAAGACTCAAATTAATGATTCTGCCTATAATGGTAACAGAGACTTTTTAGTAAATATTTCCAATGAATGTAGCTAATTTTGTCAATTTTATCTCGTTTAGTTACATTTCTTTTGTTTGCTATGAATTGCTGCCATAACAAGTGGTAAAATTAAAAATTTTGTAGGTTCAACTTCAATATAATTAAAATGAGAACATCATCAATGTAGTCGAGGTCAATTAAATACTAAATACTATAACTCAAAAACTGCTTGTCATATCTTGATCAAATTTATACGGGATCACATGAAAAGCACTAGCTTTCAAATAAAAAAAGAATCACAGAAGAGGTCACGTAGAAAGAAGTTCAGAAGTAACAAACATAAAAAACATACAGTCGAATTGAGCACCTCCTCCTTTTTTTTATACAAGAGGGGGCAAACGAGCATGCGGCTCACCTGAAGTGACTACCGCCGCCCATGATCAACCGCAACACCAGGGGAATTGCAGGTGCGTTGCCGGCCCTTTAGAAAGGAGTAAGCTCTTTTCTTGAAAGTCCCCAGGTCGTATCGGGCCGGAAAAATCGCTGGTGGTAAACTATTCCACAGGGAGGTTATACGCGAAAGAAAACTCCTTTTGAAACGTACAGTGGTGGACGGCCAAGCATCCAGATGGTGTGGATAGTATCGGGACGTTTGCCGCGTAGTGCGTTCACGAAATTTGGCGGCTGGGATTAATCCAAATGATTCCTCAGAGCACTCTCCATGGTATATGCGAAAGAAAATGCAAAGAGATGCAACATCTCTTCGCAGCGCCAGTGAATCGAGCCGATCGGAAAGCACTCGGTCGTCGACGATTCGAGGCGCTCTGCGCTGGATGCGGTCAAGTGGAAGGAGCTGGTACTGGGGAGCCCCAGCCCAGAGATGGGAACACTGTTCCAAGTTCGGCCGAACCTGCGCCTTGTAAAGTTGCATTTGCATGAAATACTGTCCTGCTCTGCTGAGCACGCCAAGCTTTTTAGAGGCCAATTTGGCCTTCTCTTCCAAGTGACCACGAAACTGCACGTCACTCGATATGTCGACGGCGAGGATTCCGATACTGGCTGAGGCAACAAGGCAACAAGTGCCTTGAAACTGAGAAGATACGACAAAATGGTTCTTTTTAGAGGTTAACGCGCAAACTTGTGTCTTCTGGGGGTTAAACTGGACTAGATTTAGTCGCCCCCAATCCGAGACTCTGTTCAGCAAAGACTCGACTTCATACACAAGTTTGTCCCGGTACTCGGAGACGTTTTCCCGAGAAATATTAGCTTGGCCGGTGTAAAGAGCATCACCAGTGCTGTCATCTGCATAACAATGTTACCGGTTTGCAACATATCATTGATATGCAGAAGAAACAGCGTTGACGATAACACGCATCCTTGTGGAACAGCAGCATTAACAGAACTTCCTTGGTGGTGGCAGTTAACAATAGACTCCATTGTTTTGGAGAACAAGGCGGTGATGGCGATAGGCCGGTAGTTGGACGGGTCTGAGCGTTCACCTTTTTTTTGGATCGGGTGGACGAAAGCCGTCTTCCATGATTTTGGGACTACGCCTAGGGAGTAGGAGTACCGGAAACCTCCTATTTGAAGTCGGTTAAAAATGTGTGAAATTTTCTTTTCTCGCCTGGTATTAATTAAGGCCTTATTTGTGATCATCACATCAAATAAATTATAACCTGACTAAAGCCTTATTTTTGAATCCTGGGATAAAATAATTCATTGTACGAGCATAAAAAACAACACAAACAAATTAAAAATAATAATTGAATGAATAAAATTGGCGAACTGCATATGTCTTAGAAATATTTTTTATTTCTCAGACATGCAGGTTTCTTTGCGATGTTTTCCTTCACTGCCCAGCACGTAGTATGTAAATCAGCGCTTAAAATTGCAATTAACAATTTCATTGGTGTCAGCATGAATCAAGTCTGGTTTGCTCGCGTACTGTGAAATTAACACATTTAACTCAAAAAATTAACTTTTAGTGTATTGTATTTTATGGAATAAATTAATTTTATTTCATTTTATTTAAATATCAGCTCTAAAACACGTTACAAACAAAACATCATTTCTGACTTTGTTTCCTTTGTCGCCTAGTTGAATCAATACTTGTGGGGAACACAAATCATTCTTTATCGTGTAATGGATGTAATATGTATATATGTATATCATCAATCATACAACAGGATTAAGGTCATCTATCTCTATATTTGCATAGAATAGAACAGATTATGTTTTATTCCTTATAAATTATAATAATTAGACACCTACATCTGTTCTCGATTAAGAACCGAAATATACATGCTTTGTTGCCCCTGAGGACTAAGAATGCTTATTACCTATTACAGAAAAAGGGTCTCCAGTTCTCTGCACTCACCATACGAAACACAGCAACATCAAGCTGCTATTTTATACTAGTAACTTCTGAGAGCGTGGAGAGTAATCCTCAGGAGAGACGATTCATTTCTGCTGCAGCCATAATATCGCTGCAGCATGACTTTAGCACGTTTGACTTCAATCCATTTCGCATACGTTTGAAAGCAAAAAATAATATTAATATGTCCCCCGGAGATCACGCCGACAATTCTCAACGGAGATCTAATAACAACAACGAAAGTAAATCGCAATGTAACGCCTGAATCTATTAATTAAATATTTGGGCCTCACTCAAAATTCGTACCCGGGACATCATGATCACAAGTTACGCTTATTACCAGTAGACCAACGAGGCAATCGAAAAAAAAAGAAAACAAAATTAGATACTAACAAATTATGTTTGCATTTAAAACTGTATGTAATTGTTTAAATAATAGCGGTATAATTACGTTGATTGTTTTTTCTTTTATCATTTTTGGTTTCTCACGAGGTTTTAATATACACACCTTTTACAAAATACATACGAAATAATTTAGTATTAGATTACATCCATTTTGTTCCCAAACTATAGCTTATAATAAGAAAAAAAATTCTGTTGCTTCTTCTCTTCAGCTTGTATACAATCAGCTTCTGGATAGACTGTTGTCATAGTAAAGAGTATTTAGAGCCGTGGTAAGTCAGGGGCTTAACGCTCGCTGTAAATTTCCCAAGCCCAAGTTCAAGCCCCGCTTGCACCTATAAAACTATTAATTGCAATTTAAAGTGCTGAATTAAGCAAACCTGCATGTCTGAGAATTAATAAAATATTTTGAAGACATGTAAAATCCCGCCAACACGTATTGGAGCAGAGCGGTGGATATTTACTTGCCCTAAAACCCTCTCAAATGTCAGAGGAGACCTGTGCCCAGCAGAGGCAGAGTATTTGTCGTGATTACCTCGTTTAATAATCCGCTTCATTATCCACCATAATGTAGGACCATCATTTACAACTTTTGCTGCTGAACCCCATTCGCTGGTTAGAACTTCCATTCCCACAATTTTTTTAATTTATGTACTTTATTTATTTATTCATAGAACTTCAATAGTACATACATTATGATATTTGCATAGTAAGTGGGCTTAATCTAGATACTGAGGAGGGTACCCTAAGTGACACAGCATTGCAATGTAATATTAAATTTATACAAAACAAAGTTACAATAGCTAATAAACGAATTTGTCACAAAACCATAATACCTAAGAACAATATATAAATAAGAAAATAAAACATGCATATTACTAAGAAGCAACTTATTACGTTCAGGGTCATTTTTGTTAGATTAGACATTTATAGCAGCGATGACGTTTTCCTATACTCGTATTGAATGAAATATGGCGTGTTGCCACACTATATTTCACTTGTCAGCATTTCAACCATAGTATCTTAATATGAGGCTTAATATTATTTATACACATTTAATAGTTCTACGAAACGCAATTATTAAAAACTAGCTGTTCCCCGCGACTTCGTTTGCGTGAAATTTATTACAAACTAGCTGTTCCCCGCGACTTCGTTTGCGTGAAATGTATTACGATTGAATTCCATGTATTTGAATTTTCTGCGAATGACCACGATTCTTTTTCTAAAATAAAAATAAGACTATGTTACTCCTTATAACATCAGTTATCTGCCAGTGAAAGTCCTGACAAAATTGGTTCAGCTATTTCGGAGATTATCCGGAACAAACGGAAAAACATACACAAAATTTATAAAAATTGTTTTTATTTTAAAAATATTTTATATAGCTGTGCCCCACGGTTCCACCCACATATATCACGTGTCTGCGCCGTGCAAAATGCCATGATACCTTGCACATTTAGTTCAATCATTTTGGCTAGAAAATTGGTAAAATTAATGTAGTAGGGCATTTTTTTATTTGTTTGTAGTGGGAAATATCACGTTGTCCACTATAGTTAATTTTTTCCTACCTAAAATTGAATCCCGCTCTCTAGTTAAATCTTATTTCTTAAAGAAATTGGAATATCAGGCATTCTAAATTACCATTTATATTATAATTCTACCATAAATTATAAGAAAAAACTTAAAATTGGTTTGACAATTTCTATTTTTATCACTGTCCCATCTTGTTCATGTCAGACATTTTACCTCGCTGTTTCAATTAGAATCACGATATTTTTACATTTATGGTGTCATTACAAGAAACGCAAGCTCACTTTTAATTTTAATTAATGAAGTTTTAATCAATATTTTAAAATATAATGAAATAAACAGTTTAGTAAATGGTTTAAAAGTTGGGCATGGTGGAAAATTCCGCTGAGTTACGCTTATATTTCCAGGAGAGTATCTAAATCTACTACAATAGTATTATTATCACAAACTAGCAACCCTACAATGGTTGGTTCACAACAAGTCAGCCATTTTGAATTCACAGTTCGAATGTAACATCGTTAGAACTTAGTACAGTACCGGTTAGTGCGTGTTAAAAATTCAGCTGATTTACGAAGATTCCATAGTAAGTACGCTTGTTTTACTGTTTTAAAGAGTATTTATTAGACGTATAATTTACTATTTGATAATAATGCAACAGTTTGACTGAATTAGACTTGTCTTTTGACGAATTTTTAAAAAAAAATCAGCCTTAATTTAAAATCCGTTACGTAAGCTGAGAAACATTCACTCAGTGGATAGGTTTTCGTAACTCAGTGGAACGTAAGCCCTTATTTACACTGTGTTTTATTAAGTACCTAGTAAAACAATTTCATATCAATTATATTTGAACGTAATTTTGTTCTGCATCTTTTTATAAAGCCTGCGCACCAGCCGAGGCTACAAGCTATATGTTTTTTTATTAAATTGTTTTCTACACACGCGAAGTTGCTATGTTTGTTTTAAAGCTGAAAGGATTAAGTAATACTTTTAACATTATCCGTAATGTATTTTTTGTATTATGTACGTACTTTAATTGACATCGATTGGCAGGTGACCGCTAGACAGTAATTTGAATTTTATATTAAACAAGCGGCGAACTGCGACTTTGTCTTTCACCCGTTTCAGCGTGATTGAATAACGAACAAACATCCATACTCTCGCATTTATTATATCAGTAGGATTTAATCATTTATATTGGTTTATTAGGTGTCAAAATGGCTCTCACTCCTGCGGAACGCATGAAAAAATATAGAGAGAAATTGAAAGCAGATCCACAAAAATACGAAGAAGTCAAGAAAAAACATGCAGCAAGAGTAAAAAATAAAACTAAGAAGATATTTGAGCTAACAGAATACGAGAAAGAAAAAAGGCGGAAAAAATGGAGAGAGCAGAAACGGAAGCAGAAGAAAAATAAAACTCAGGGTAAAAATGAAAAAAATATAATACCATCTACTGTGAATACTCGAAATAAGAAGAGGACGTTAAGAAATAGATTAGCCCGTAAATATAATGCCGCCATAAAAAAATTCAAAGTTTGAAAACAGCACTTGAGAGTTGTTTGAAAACGTCATACGAAAAGTGTAAGAAATACGAAGAAAGGAATGTTTTTAAAACATTAACTGAAAATGAAGCCACAAAGAAATTAAAAAAGAAGACATTTGTTTCTAAACTATTATGTTTAAAAAGGGAATAGCACGAAAAGCAGCTAAAAAAAACAAAAGAAAATGAAATATGCATAGAAATACGAAGTTTTTTTTTTTTGAGAGATGATATAAGCAAAAGTACGTCTGGGAAAAAAGAGTGCCGTACATTGAAAAAACAAAATAAACAGATTAGATATCTTACCGATACGCTATTTAATCTATATCAGATTTATCGAGCAGAGGGCGGAACAAAATCGTTTGCCACATTTTATAAATATCGACCCTTTTATGTTTTATCGCCTACTGTACAGAAAAGAGATACTTGCATCTGTATCAAATATAGCAATTTTGAAAAAATGTTCTCTGCACTACAAAAACTTGGAGTATTGTCAAAATATAAAGTACTAGAAAGCCTTTTGGCTCATTTCACATGTGATATTAAATCAAAAAAATGTATGTATGGTGAATGTGGTACATGTAAAGTACAAGAATTGCAGTACGATTTAAAAGACAGACAGATAACTGAAGAAATAGAATGGGAACAGTGGGAGAACATAAATCACGAATATATAGACACTAAAAAGGAAAATAATAAAACTGTAAAAACAGGGGCCGTGGAAACATTAATTCAGAATTTTAAATGTAATATACCGATTTTCAAAAAACATTATTACAATTGGAAACATCAGCAACACCAATACCGAAAGTGTATAACCGAACTCAAAGAAAATGAAGCCGTACTACTCTGTGACTTCTCAGAAAATTACTGTGGTAAACTAGCCGAGGAAGTACAATCTATGCATTTCGGTGCCACGAAACAACAATTTACCCTACATACAGGGATGATTTACTGGGCTGGAGGTTCATAATCATTCTGCAGTATTGCTGATAAAAACGCCCATGATCCAGCAGCTATATGCCACATATCACCTTTTGCCAGTCATAAAGTTAGCCAAAGAGTACAATCCTTTACTTAAGGTTATTCACTTTTACTCAGATGGTCCGTGTACTCAGTACAGGCAAAAGAAAAATTTTTTTATATTAGGGGGATAAGTCGCTCGCGTCCGTAGGCTCTGACCACCTATTCCCTAGGCCCACCCTACACGTGTCCCCCGGGTGGTGCTAAATGAGCGACAAGCCGATAGCACAGACTCGGCTCCACGCCCTGGTAGAGGCGTAAAATATACCACCCTTTATCCGCACCATGAGGAACAATATAATAGAAATGGCCCCGAGTTCCCGGCGCCCCTTTAATGGGGCAGGGGTGCGAAGAATCTCCGGGAGGAAAACCGGCGACGAGGTTCGCCACCCGTCACGTTCTGTCTCCCGGAGAGGCGAAAAGTGGATTGCAGAGGTCCGTCTGGCTACGTTGAATGTATGTGGGGCAATGAATGATAAAATGGATGAAGTATGCGATATGATGAATGATAGAGGAATAGATGTGTTATGTGTAAATGAGACGAAAGGAAGGGAAAGGATGTCACTACACATGGCATGTATACCGCATACTGGTCTGGTGTAGACGAGATCGAGCGGGCATGCCAGGGAGTAGGTATCATCCTTTCAGAAAGAATGGGCCAATGTGTGAAAGAGTATGAATGTGTAAGCCCAAGACTGCTGTGGATACGAATGAAAGTGGGCTTAAAGAAAGTTGTTTGTGTTAGGGGTCTACGCCCCAGACATGTCTAAGCCCACTTATATCCGAGAGCAGTTTTGGGAAATGGTAAGGATGGTGTTAATGGAGTGTAAGGGAAATGAAAATATTATTATGCTAGGAGATTTTAATGGAAGGGTGGGGGTGAGGAGGCTTGGGTATGAAAGGATATTGGGAACGTTTGGTGATGAAAGTATAAATGAGAATGGTGAAAGTCTCCTCACCGTATGTATGGAAAAAGAATCTTTTTTGTGACGAACACTTGCTTTCGCCACAAGAGGATTCACATGTATACTTGGGAAAGAGGTGACGATAGAAGCATGATAGATTTAATAATTGTGGATGAAAGATTGAGGGGCGCAGTTGTAGATACAAGGGTTTACCGGGGTTCTAACGTAGGAACGGATCATTATTTGGTTCTATGCCGAATTAATGGTCTATTCAGGCGTTGGCGCCATCGGTCATCTGTGTCTACCACTGCGTTACAGCGTATTAGAACAGAAAGGTTACAAGATGAAGGTGGAAAAAAGAAGTTCAAATGTAGACTGAAAGAAAATATAAGTGGTTTGGATGAATTATGTATGAAGGAGTTAGACTTGGAGAATGTATGGCAAAATGTAAAGAAAGGTTTAGTGGATGCAGCTACCGAAGTATGTGGTGTTAGTAAGAGAAAGAATGAAAGGAAAAATAATACGTTATGGTGGGATGATGAGGTACGTATGGAAGTTGAAGCAAAGAAGAGAGCATGGCTAGATTTACTAGCAACAAAGGCTGGTAATTCTAGCGGTACGAATGATGATAT